TAGCACAGGCCTCCAGAAACGGGAATGATAATGATGATGATGAAGAAACCGATGACGAGTCCCTGGGGCAAACGTCCCTGGTTCATCCCCTTATCCGCTTACCGGAAGAACAGAGTGGCCATTCGAGCTTGGGAAGGAGGTGAGAAGGGAGAGGAAATATGCAAATGAGTAAAAATCAGGGCATGAACTGAATTAATAACGTCAACATGTTACAGTAATTAGAACCCACGAAACCAAAGGGCCAGAGTTCTAAAAACAGAGGGAACTACAGAACCTCCACACCAGCCCAGATGTCCTCGCAGATCCCAATCAGACAGAGCTGGGACCCCAGGAACCAGGCTTCAAGTTCTCCATACTTCATAGGTGGGGAAAAAAAAACAAACAAGCACGCACACACACACACACACACATACACACACACACACAGGTGGGGAAAAACAAACACACACACACACACACACACACACACACACACACACACACACACATATATATATATATACACATACATACATACAATGCTTGACACACAAGCATAAAGATCTGTTTAAACCCCAGCACCCACATAAAAGAGTCCGGTGCAGCTTTGTGTGTGAGGCAGAGACAAGAGGAGCTCTGGTGTTTTTGGCCTGCCAGGTTAGCAAAGCAGTGAAATCAGGGTGAGTGGGAGGCCCTGTGAGTTCCAACAGGAGGAAGGGGCTGAGGGAGACACTGACAGTAACCGGCCTTCAAATTTCATATGCATGTGAACTCCTGTGACCACACACCCTCGGGACTGTAATGACAGACAACAAAGGTGAGCTTTGGATTAGAGAAGTGCTTGTGGCCCACGCCTACAATCCCAGCACTCTGGAGGCTGAGGCAGGTGGATCACCACAAGCCCAGGCAGGGTTACATATTTCCTTCCATGCCAGCCTGGCCAAGGTGTGAATTCTGTCTTAAACACAACAACAAGCCGGGCTGGAGAGATGGCTCAGAGGTTAAGAGAACTGACTACTCTTCCAGAGGTCCTGAGTTCAATTCCCAACCATCTGTAATGAGAGCTGGTGCTCTCTTCTGGCCTGCAGGCATACACACAGACAGAACACTGTATAAACAAACAAATAAATAAGTATGACAACAAGCCCATGCCATGAGGTGGTGGTGCACACCTTTAATCCCACACTTAGGAGGCAGAGGCAGGCGAATCTGAGGTCAGCCTGGTCCAGGATGGTCAGGGCTACCCAGAGAAACCCTGTCTCAAAATTAAAAACAAAACAAAATAAATAAAAAACCTTAGCCAAAACAAACAAACAAACAAACAAAAAACCAACAACAGCTGAGCAAGATGGCTTAGAGGGTAAAGGCACTTGCTGCCAAGCCTGACAGTCTGAGTTTGAACACCGAGACCCACACAATGGAAGGAGAGAACCAACTCTTGCAAATTGTCCTCTGACCCCCACATGCATGCCGTGGCATCTGCACACACATACACTAAATAAATTTAAAAACAAAACAGAAAACAAGAGAGAGACGTAGACACTCATTCAAGATCACATAGCCAGGAAGTGACTAAGTGACAGAGGGACCCTGGAACCCAAATGTCCCGAGTCTCAACTATTATTCTACACCTGTCCACCTCAAAGGCACAGTCCCAATCTGCTTCCTCTAATGCTCCATCCCCTTGTGTTCTATCCCTTTACCCAAAACAGCTCTACCCAGAGAAGGGTCTGGAACCGACTTGCTTCCTTACAATGCCTCAACGCCAGTGGAAAAAGAGGACCTTTCCTCTCCTTTTTTTTTTTTTTTTTTCGAGACAAGGTTTGTTTTGGAGGCTGTCCTGGAACTCGCTGGGTAGACCAGGCTGTCCTCGAACTCACAGAGATCCGCCTGCCTCTGCCTCCCTAGTGCTGGGATTAAAGGCGTGCGTCACCAACGCCCGGCGACCTTTCCTTTTCTTACGTTTTCAGATGAAAACTAGCTAACTGCCTCTTTAATCCCTCAGTCCTTTGGATGAGAAAGCTGAGCCTCCTTCTCCCCTTAGGCTGGCACATTTACCATCCTGAGAGCACATTTTGGAAGCTGTCAGGCTGCATGGGCTCTAGGGGGTTAGTGAGTGACAGCTGGAGGGACCCTCTCTGCAATCAGCTGAGACAGAGCAACAGAGACGAGACCAATTTTCAAGCCACCCCCGCCCCCATGCTTCCAAAATTGTCTTATGTAGCTTGCACAAGCTGCCCAAGCCACCCGGGCAAGGCATGGAAGAAGAGCAATCCCACCCAGGTCCTGTCGAATGCCATCTCTGTGTTGGTGAAAGAATGGGCATGGATTTGGCTAGGAAATCTTGGAGGCTGGGAGACCCCCTATATCACTTCTGCTTCCCAAGATGGGTGAGCACCTCTCTAGGAACCCTACCGTACCAAGGCCAGAGCTACTTATTATGCAGTAGCTAAGGCAACAGAGGACCAGCCTGGATCCCAGTTCCTGGATCCCTTTAAGCAAGTTGCATCACTGGGTGACAATGAAGGTTAAATGAATTAACTCAGGAAAAATCACTCACAAGAGCAGCTGGCACCAGTGAGTTAGCAACAGTACTCTAGAGTGAGCATGGGACAAACTGCTCACAGGTCCTATGGGAGGGCATCAGGCACAGAGAGAAGAAAACTTGCCCTGCTTCCCATGCTCTGAGCACCTACTCATTCACTTCGTCACATATGCACATCATTTCTTTTTTTTTTTTTTTTTTTTTGGTTTTTCGAGACAGGGTTTCTCTGTAGCTTTGGAGGCTGTCCTGGAACTCACTCTGTAGACCAGGCTGGCCTCGAACTCACAGAGATCCGCCTGCTTCTGCCTCCCGAGTGCTGGGATTAAAGGCGTGCGCCACCAACGCCCGGCATGCACATCATTTCTTGAGTTTAAAAAAATGTAGTTTAAAGCTGGACAGTGGTGGCGACCGCTTTTAATCCCAGCACTCGGAGACAGAGGCAGGTGGGTCCCTGAGTTCAAAGTCATCCTGGTCTACATAATGAGTCCCAGGATAGTCAGAGCTATATAGTGAGACCCTGTCTTGAAAAAACAAAACAAACAAACAAAAAGACAGTTTAAAATTTAAATTAGCCATCTTGTAATCCCGTCACTCAGGGGGGCTAAACTGGAAGGTTGCAGAGAGTTCAAGACCAGTCTGGATTGCAGAGTTAGAACATGTCTCAAACAAAGAAGCAAACAAAAACAGAAAGGGATCCTTAGGGCTGGAGAGATGGCTCAGTGGTTAAGTGCACTGCTCTTGCAGAAGACCTGAGTTTGGTTCTCAGCATTCACCACCTGTAACCCCAGCTCCAGGGGCCCTAACGGCCTCTTCAGGACGCCTGGAGCACCTGCACTTACACAGGCGGACACAGACACACACAATCTAAAAATTAATAAATCTCTAAAAACGTTTAAAGAAAAGGAATCCTAGGAAAAGTTTGAAGATTACTTGGCATTTTATGTTCTTCAAAATAGATACAGGAGACTGTTCCTACCGTTAGCCCAGATTTGCCAAGTAACCAGTTCTTCACTTAGTTTACAAATATTAATGAGGTGTCCAGTGCCGTCCAGCTGCTGGGGTCTTAACAAGAACAAAATGGGCTATTTCTGCCCTTTCTGGGTTTTCATCCTATCTGGTGGTGATTAACCCCCTCTACCGTCCTTGAGGATGGATGCTTGACAGACTGGGTTGCCTTGTGAGGGGAAGTCCCAGAACACCAATCTTGGGGGAGAAGAGGTTCTAGTGTAGCCCAAGAGGACAGCGCTGTGGATGGCAGGTTTGCAGTTGGTTGCTCAAAAGGAAATCAAGAGGACAGGGGCCACCGACACAACCCACTCATCCTTTGCGCGCTCGTGCATATGTGTGTGTGTGTGTGTGTGTGTGTGTGTGTGTGTGCTGGGGGGGGGGGCGACACGGCATACGGCACATGCAGGCCAGAAAGCAGACGCAGATGCTGGGACCCACAAGAAAGAGACCGAGGCACCCTGCCCCCTTCCTCATTAAACCCGAGCGTTGTCAGTAGTTCTTACCCAACACTGCCTAGAGGAGAAGTAAAGCCCATAGGTGTTGGACCCCAGCTCCAAGAGAGGCAGGAGACCCTGCGTCTCCTCTATCACCTTGCCAATTCACAGGCCAGGACCTCAACGACTCTTAACCTCCAGATTCACTCTGATGCCCCCGGCCCCGCCCCGGTCAAAGACCTCATTTCCCCAAACTGGGGCCAGCACAGAGCCCCCATATGATCTGATTCCTCCCAGGACACCTAAGTGTCCCCATCCAATGGGATCAGGGAACTCTTTACCTGACCCCACCCCGCTGTTGATGGAACAGATGGCTCCTGGGACGCTGGGGGACTCGGTGGCCAGATCAAAGCCACGGAATGGTTCGCGTGCCTGCCAGGTCAGGTTGGCTCAAGATAGATACATCAATTCCTGGTGACCCTCCTCAAGGAGGTAGCTCTCCATCTCAGGCCACCCATTTAGAAGGGTTCCAAGAGGTAGAAAAGAAGCACAAAGGACGACTGTGGGTTCTTAGGAGTCTCAGGTCCCACCATACAAACAGGAAGCAGAAATGGCCAGAAATCTAAAAACATTCCAGAGACACATACACACAGTAGCAGAAAGAGACTTTGTGAGAGACACTCACTCACAGGGGTGGAGCCCAGAGGACTGAGGTACCCACGGAACCAGCGCTTTAGAGGGGAACATGAATGCGGTCAAGGACCTCGCTGAGTGCACAGAGCAGCCTCGGACACACCCCCAGACCCAAGGGAGCCACAGTCCCGGGAGCAGCCCCAACGGGAGCCCACGCGCACAGTGTGAGCGGACGCGTGCAGCCCGGGAGCGCTGGACCGTGCGCGCGAGCGCGGGGCTGAGGCGAGGAGCGCACACAAAGGGACAAACCAGCCCGCGCGGGGCAGGCTCCGCCCGGCCACCCCGCACCCCGGGTGGCGCCCACGCGCGGCCGCGACCCCACCCCGCCCAGCACCGCTCACCAGCTGCAGGCAGCAGAAGGCGACCAGCGTGCAGCGCCCGCTGCACTTGCCCATGGCTCCTCCTTGCGCCGCGCGGGGCCGCGTCGTCCCGATGGCGCCCCGGGGCGGCGGGGCCGGCGACTAGGGCCGGATCCCCAGAGCCGCGGCCGGCCGCCCGCGCCCCGAGTGCATGGTGCGCCCGGTCCGCGCGGGCTCCGCCGCGCCTCCTTTGTCTGCGGCCGGCCGTCGGCACACCTCCCGCCCGCGGCGCCGGCCAGCTCGTAGCGGCCCCCGCAGGCACCGAGCGCGGCGCGGTGCAGCACTGCCCAGCTGGGGCAGCCGCCCGGGCGCTCGGCGGCTGCCGCTTCCCGGCCCACCACGTGGCTCGGCCGCCACCCCGGAGGGAGGCGAGGGAGGGGCGGAAGAACAAGGGGGGCGGGGAGGGGAGGGGCGTGGAATGAAGAGGAAGAGTGCGGGTCCTGCGCGCTGGCCGCTCTGGGTCGCATCGAGACTGCTGTTGGCTGGCTGTGTCACCTTGGGCAGATCACATTACTTCTCTGGGCTATTCCGTCCCCCATGCCCCCCCGTGTGGGGGCGAGCAAAGTAGGAAAAAGTCCCTTGCAGGCAGCAAAGCAAGCGTTAACCCTTAGCCTGACCTGCTGAGGGAGCTGGAACCACCCTGCCAGGAGGGTCCTGGGGTTCCAACTTTGTCCTCTTTTTCCATTTGTGTTCTTAGCACAGCTTGCCAGCCCTCCTGGGTTCCCAGCTACATTTTCTTTTTTCCCTCTCCGTCTGCTGTATGCCAGGTTTCTGGGAGCCAGAGGTAAACTTCAGTTCCTACGAATCTTCAAAGTTCAGGGACCGAATAGGCCCCCAGGCTGACGTTTAGGTGTTCCTCCTCCTGCCTCGGCCTCCCAAATCCTGGGATTACATATGTGAGCCACTATGCCCAACTAAATGTTATGTTTTAAAACACGCAAGACAAGCCCTGGAGTTGATCCTAGCACTGTCAACAATGACAGAACTAAAGGCCTTGTAGGTTGTTCCCAGAGGCAACATCATCGCACATGCTTGGAGCACCCACACACCCGCACCCACACAGACACACACGCCTACACGCACACACACCCCACCTCACACACACAAAAAGCAACTGGGATAACAGTGGGGACTTTCTCAGCCATTGTTAGGGAATGACAGCTGTGCCCAGCCTGTTTCCCTGACTAGCCAGGCTTCTGTGAAGTCCCTAAAATGATACACAGAGCATAATTTTGTGTGGGGACTGGCTCCCAGATTTTATCAAAGTCTCCAGAGAGTCCTGATTTCCGCAAAAGAAGAGCCAATCCCCAGGAGTACGGGTCCCCCGCGGGATCCCCTACAGTCTTTCCAGTGAGCCCAGACCGGTTCCCACCTCCATGCAGACAGTGTGCTTAGATAGTCTTAGGAATGCTAGTCAACGCTCACCGATCCAAGCAGTGGTCAAAACTGTCTCTCTCCTCCCCGAGACAGGGTTCTGCTCAGTTCTGACCAGCGCTGTCAGGCTCTTGAACGTCTGTACGTCACAGGCGCAAGGCCTGACCAACTCACTCAAAGTCTGCACTAACCCACCCTGCCCCACTGAATCCTGGCCACCACTCTCTCTGGCCCATCCCCACTTTTAGGGTCACTTTTTTTTTTATTTATTCATGTCATGCATCTGTGTTTGGACACAAGCATGTTAGAGTTCCATCATGACTCTCAGATGACAACTTATGGGAGTCAGATTCCCCCACATGGGTCCCAGAGATCAAACTCAGATCTTTGTACTCAGTGGCAAGTGTCCTTTACCCAAAGCCATCTCAGGCCCAAGATTGTTCTACTCTGGGATCCCCATTTGTAGTGCAACGGACTCCAGGTCAGTAGTCCCCTCTCTGGCTCATCCCAACCTTCAATACTTCCATGATAGCTTGTTCTAGAACCTCCTTTGCTTTTGTTTCTTTTTTTTTTTCCAGTTCTTTCTTTCTTTTTTGATTTATTTATTTATTTATTTATTTATTTGGTTTTTCGAGACAAGGTCTCTCTGTATTGTTTTGGAGGCTGTCCGATTTATTTATTTTTATTTTGTATGCATTGGTGTTTTATCTGCAGGTACATCTTGTGAGAGTGTATCTTGGAGTTATAGTGTTGAGTTGCATGTAGGTGCTGGGTTTTGAAATCGGGTCTTCTGGAAGAGCAGTCAGTACCCTTAACCACTGAGCCATCTCTCCAGCCCCATCTTTTGTTTCTTGAAGTAGACTGTGAACCCAATGAGGACACTTATGTTTGTGACTTACTTTGACCTCCCCAGGAGTTGGGTTGGGGCAGGAGCCTTCAGATGTGAGGGGACTAAGGTGGCATACTTGTCATACCCTGTGTCTTAGTTTGGGTTACTATTTCTAAAATGAAACATGATGACCAAAAGCAAGTTGGGGAGGAAAAGGTTTATTTAGTTTATGCCTCTGCATCTATAGTCCACCACAGAGGGAAGTTAGGACAGGAACCCAAACAGGACAGGAACCTGGAGGCAGGAGCTGATGCAGAGGCCATGGAGGAGTGATGGTTACTGGCTTGCTCTCCATGGCTTGCTCAGCCTGCTTTCTTTTGTTTTGTTTTGTTTTTCAAGACAGGGTTTCTCTGTGGCTTTGGAGGCTGTCCTGGAACTAGCTCTTGTAGACCAAGCTGGTCCCAAACTCACAGAAATCCACCTGCCTCTGCCTCCTGAGTGCTGGGATTAAAGGTGTGGGCTACCATCGTCTGGCAGCATGCTTCCTTATAGAACCCAAGACCACCAATCTGAGGATGGAACCACCCACCAAGGGCTGGGCCCTTCCCCTCGATAACTAATTAAGAAAATGCTCTATAGGTTTGCCTACAGACTGATCTTATGGAAGCATTTTCTCAGTTAAGGTTCCTCCCTGTCAGATGACGCTAGCCTGTGTCAAGTTAACATAAAATTAGCCAGCACCTGGATCTCTTTCCAACCCTGGAACCCAGTGGGTCCCCTTTCCTTCTGGAGTCTGAGATTCTCAGAAGGAGGCGGTACAACTGGACAAGAGGCAGTCATTTCTGGCAAGAGGTTCAGAGCTGGGGATGACATGGGGTGGGGCTTGCCATCAGTACCATGAGGGATGACTAACGGAGGCCTAGGGGAAGCTGCGGGAAAGAGGAAGTAGGATGCACAGTGAAAAGGACAGCCGTGACTCAGAGCCCAGCCACATTTCCTGAATGTGAAGGCAGGATCGCGGTCAGGCCTGCAGGGAAGTCTGGCAGACGTGATGAGAAGAGGGCACTGGAAAGATCCCCCGCTCTAACCCAAGGCTAGGCAGGGTCGGGGTTTTGCCCTCTGAGAGTGAGAAACTGAAAGCCCTTGGAACAGTGCTTTGTGAACCAGCTGAATGATAAGCCTGGTAACTCCCCTCCCCTCGTGTTGGAGGGCTGAATATGCTCACTAATTATAGCTTCTGGGACATTTTCTGTTGCTAACCAATTCTTCAAACCAGCTGGGTGTCTGATGATTCAATTCAGTTATGGCTTGAACTACCTGGGATAGCACAGGCCCCACCGGCGAAGGGCTCAGTCTCAAAGCTAGCACCCTTGCAAGAGACCGGTTTTAAACCTCTGGCTACCATTTGTCCTGTTGATGGACAAGCTGTCCATGGGCTCTCATGCCCCCCCTCATGTCCCATAATTTGCTAGAGTGACTTGCAGAACCCTGGCAGGTACTAGACTTATATTTACTGGTCTATTATAAAAGATACCAACGAATGGCCAGAGGAAAAGAGAGTTACCTAGGGTGGGACCTGGGGGGTCCTCAATGTGAGCTGTTCTGTCTCCATGGGGTTGGGGTGCTCAGCATTCATCAACTTGGAAGCTCCAGAGAGAGCTCTTTGCTCAAGGGTTTGCAGACACCCCATCTCCAGTCCTCAAGGACAACAGTGGGTGGGGCTAACGGTTCCAACTGGCTAGTCATTTTGCCTTTCTGATGACTGGGTTAGGACAGCTCTGGGAGAGCTGAGAGGTACTTCGTGACTATCAAAGGACACCCCTGGATACAGCCTTCTGGTACACCCCTTCTGGTAGTTTGAATGCAATTTGCCTCTATAAGCTCATAGGGAATGGCACTGTTAGGAGGTGTGGCTTTGTTGGAGTAGATGTGGCCTTGATGAAGTATGCCACTGTGGGGGTGAGCTTTGAGGTCTCATATATGCTCAAGTCATGCCCAGTGTCTCAGGTCACTTCTTGTTGCCTTCTGGTCAAGATGTAGAACTCCTTCTCCAGCACCATGTCTGCCTGCATGCCACCATATCCCACCATGATGATAATGCACTGAACCCCTGAACTGTAAGTCATCCAATTAAATGTTTTTCCTTGTAATAGTTACCATGGTCATGCAGTAGAAACCCTAACTAAGACACCCTCTAGTCTTAGCTCTCCAAAGGAGGATGCAAGAGGATCACAAATTCAAGGACAGTCTGGATTACATAGATCCAGCCTTAAAATTCCCCTTAATGGGATCTAGGGTTGTAGTTCAGTTGATAAGCGCTTGCTTTAGTATACATAACGCCCTGGTTTCAGTCCCTAGCATCATACAAAGCAGGGTTCTGCAATGCATGCTTCTAATCCCAGAACTCTGGAGGTGGAAGCAGAAGGACCAGAAATTCAAAGGCACCATCTGCTATACAGCTAAGGAGAGGCCAGCCTGGGGTACATGAGACCTTGTCTCAACAGGTGTGTGTGGGGGGCTGGTGAGCAAATGAGCAGGGAAAGGTACCTGTCTTCAAGCCTGACAACCCGAGTCCGAACTTTGGTAACCACATGATGGAAGTGGAGAACTGACTCCTGCAAGCTGTCTTCTGACCTCACGTAAGTACACACGCATGCACACACAATAAAGAATAAGTACATGTGAAGGGGAAAAACACAGCAAACTGAATAGCTGGGCTTGGTGATAATTTTTGTTTCAGCCCTTGAGAAATTGAAGCAGGAGGATTGACTGGAGTTTAGGTCCAGCCTGTGCTAAAAAGTAACTTCCAATCTAGCCTGGACTACAGAGGGAGACCCTGCCTCAAATAACAAAAAATTAAATGTAAGTAAAAGACAGTCTTGCTGTTAAAGTGTGGGTCTGGCATGTGCAAGGGCCTGGGTTC